GGGGGGGGGGGGGGGGGGCTCCAGTCACCACCAGTAGCAACAGCAGAAGGGGCAGAGCAGCTACGTCTGAACCTAGGAGCCGAGCACGCCAAGACAGTTGACTTCTCAGGGAGGGGATGGGCATGTTCTCCAACCACCAGGGGGCGCCCTTATATCCTTGGGAGCCATTCATAGACATCTGGTCTACACCTAAGTGGAACCGATGGGCTTTTAAGAAGCAGAGGATCACCTGAAGTTGTTTCGGCATCAATAAGCTTATGGTTTCGGGGGTTTTGAAGGAAGATACTGGTTCTGGCCTCTGGGCTGGGCAGTCCCTGGGCACCTGCTGCGACTGCCCCATTTAATTAAGTGAACATAGCGTAAAACCTCTTCTGGTCTCATTGCTCTCCAGTTTGGCAGTGGTCACTGAGACTCCCTAAGGCCTGTGGTAAGGCGGCTGCTTCCCGTGGGGCCTCTAACTGGGGGGCTTCTGTGTCAGAACCCCGAGTGTCACCTTTGTAAATAGCACTGTGTGTGGTTTTGGATGTCATCAGTAAGAAAGCACTGGGAGGCAGGACCCTGCCGTGACCCCTCCCCTCCGTGGGTGGGCAGTAGACCTCCTCCTTCCACAGGCCTCAACTAGGATTGCACCAGGATTAAACTTTTGGGAGGTTACTCTTGTGAAACGTTTTGATCCTTTGTGTTTCCATGTTTTCCATGGCTGTGAACCGTGGGCATCACCACTACTCAGGTGGCACCTTTCATTGGCCTCTTGACTTTCCATACTATGCTTGTGTGTGCTTTTTCCCACTGTTGGGTTGAAATGAAATATTGTACCAGGACTTCACGAAGCCCAGATATCTTAGGTGGGCGTTGTCAAAGAGAATTTAAGCCATATCCAAATTTCGTTTTAACATGCAAGACATTCAAGTGTCCAGCGGTGTGTTTGGAGGTGTCCCAAATTATTTAAAGGACTGGTTCCTGGCCCTGTCTACCACTCACTACCTGGGTGTAAGCCTTTCTGAACCCCATGTGCCATCCATAAAGTGAGTGGCCACCATCCTTTCTGTTTATGTCATAGGTTGCTAGTAGGATGTTTTGAACATATGTCTGTATAAAGTGTTATAATTAGTGTAATTTAATAATGATAACTACTGGGTATGTGCAAAGGGCAATCAGGTTAAGATACCACTTTCAAAGAGTGACTCCTGGGTTCTAGCCCATAGTCATTGTAACACGTCAGAGCAGTGGTTCTCAACCTTCCTAATACCGCGACCCTTGAATACAGTTCCTCATGTTGTGGTGACCCCCAATTTCATTGTTACAAATTGAACATAATTAAAGCATAGTGATTAATCACAAAAACAATATGTAATTATATATGTGCTTTCTGATGGTCTTAGGCGACCCCTGTGAAAGGGTCGCTCAACCCCCAAAGGGGTCGCGACCCACAGGTTGAGAACCGCTGCGTTAGCGTGTTCCCCCAAGCGTGCCTCAGCTTTCTCTACTTGTTGAACTGAAGTCTGTCTTTGCAGCTGGTTCTTGGGGTGTAGGGATCCTAGCTAATTCTTTAAGTCTCCCTCCTAATTCACTCGCTCATCAACAAGGTACCTGACCTATGGGACGGGCTTTTATTGAGTGAAATGAATGAAACCGAAGTAAATGAGTCCGCGGAGCCTCTCCCTTCATCCGCTGGTGAAGCCCAGTCTGGCAGCTGGATGCCCAGAGCACTGGCTGGTCTTCCAGGCCCCGTGTTTACCCTGGGCACTCAGAGGAGCCTCATTTTTAATGACTTGTTTGTGTCCTCACTGATTTGGTGTCGGGTTTAATATAAATAGTTGGAACGGAAGAGCAGGAATTACCCTCAGAGGGAAGGACTCTGGTTTGCCAGTGGTTGAGTGGGAGGCCTGGGCTTTTGATGGTCTCTATAAATAACCTAGAGCAAGAGTGACCTGTTGGTAGAAGCACGTGTAAAAAGGCCGGCACATAAACACACACAGAGTGGCGAGGTGTGTGTGAAGGGGGCTGTGGGATTAGGAGCTGGGCCCAGCATTTATTTTCGGAAGGAGAAGACAGTGTGGGGCGCACAGAGTCCTCCCTACGTCCTTCCCTCTCTGCACTGGCCCTTTGTGTCCCTGCCCAAGGCGGGTCTCATCTGTCTCCCATTGGACCCTCTGCTCTGGCCTCACTTAAATAAGCCGGGCCCAGCAGATGGCCCTCTGCTGGCTCCAAGTGCCTCCTGTCTCTGAAAGAACTCGCTGATGAGGCCCGTTTTTGTGCGAAGCCATTGGAATCAAGCTTGGCTTCAATTATCAAAGAAAATGATGCCATAGGAAAGATATGCTGGAAGCAGTAGGCCACAATTAGGGTGGAAGCCCTGGGGAGGGCAGTTTGCTAAGACACCCCATGGTAACAGTTTGCCGGCGTTCTCAGGGCCCCAGTGCCCCACGCCCGCGAGTGCCCGGACCCCACCGAATGCCCCCTGATGTGGCCTTAGACCAGCCGTGGGCAAACTACGGCCCGTGGGCCAGATCCGGCCATTTTAAATGAATAAAACTAAAAAAAAAAACCCAAAAAGCCATACCCTTTTATGTAATGATGTTTACTTTAAAGACCGTACCCTTTTATGTAATGATGTTTACTTTGAATTTATGTTAGTTCACACAAACACTCCATCCATGCTTTTGTTCCGGCCCTCCGGTCCAGTTTAAGAGCCCATTGTGGCCCTCGAGTCAAAAAGTTTGCCCACCCCTGCCTTAGACCATGCTTGCCGAAGGCAGTGTTGCCTTTTGGACAGTGACTGCGGGAGTAGATTGTCACAGGGCTTCTGGAAACCCTAAACACACAGCCTTAGAAGCAAGTCATTTTTTTAAAAGTCGCATTGTTTTGAGAGGGGGCCCAGCAGGAGGCGCACAGGCCAGTTCTGCTGTGTTCTCTGTAGGGCGTTTGCCCTGGTGCTTGGGGAGGGGTATGGGCCTGCAGCCTCTCATCCAGATAAGAGACGAGAATAGGTGGAGCAGCACATACTTCCCCAGTGAATAAGACCCCAGGATCCTCCGCTACCTGACAGCCGAAAGCCCTGTGCACATGGACGTTGCAAACTTGGTCCGCCCAGTGCAAAATGTGTACGATGGGCCTCCACTCTCCCTAGGAATTTAAAACCCTGCCAGCAACTGGGAGCACAACAGTCCTGAAGAAATAATCAAAGCATCTGGGTACAATTACTGTAGTATGGCCGAGTTTCTTTCCGTTGTGTGTGTGTGTGTGTGTGTGTGTGTGTGTGTGTGTGTGTGTGTGAAGTAATCACAAGAAAACAGCTTTAATCCATTTTTTTTCATTATCTGGTGATTTTTGACAAAGTTTGGGGTTCTTAAAAATTGAGTTTGTCTCCCTCACAACCCTGCCTCCTTCCTCTCTGCCTTATCTTGTTATGATTGTAGGAAAGTCCAAACACTTCATTGCAGTCATCTGAGCTAAGAGCAGTATATTCTGTGTTTAATGACTGGTCACACAGTAGCCCTCTATTTTGGAAGCAAAGGGAGGCGCATTTATTTTGGGATCCATGTGTTCAAGGAGGGCAAAGCTGGGAGCACACATGGGATTTGAGTGAGGTGCCTTTTTTGTTTGGGGCGGGAGGAGGAGGAATGCCTGTTGAGTCATTTTCTCCCTGTGGAAGTTGAATTATAACCCTTGCATTTGGGACGTTGTTGATATGTTAACACCACAAAGATAGCAACACTGAAGTGGTAGAAAGGGTGTTTGGATGCTATTTAAGGCTGTTTTGATCTTGTACTTTGCCTTTGGACTAAAAACAAAACAAAACTTGTCAGCAGCCCATCTTTTGGACCCAGGTATTTTAAGGAGGTTCAACAAGGTTTGGTGCTTCTGCCCCATGTCACAAGCGTACGCTCAGCGTTGGGGAGACACACGTGAGGAAGTCAGATGGGTCCTGGCCCTCATGGAGCTTCCAGTCTAGTTGCTCAGAGCGTGCATTCAGTGTGAAAACACGCCAATGCTGTGTAAGTAATTAGAAGTCGTGATAAATACCACAGAGGGAAAAAGAGCCACAGGAGCTCTCTGTTTATGTTGGCTCTTGGTTTTGTGGAGAATTAAACCGATTCCCCCCCAGTTACAGTGCCCTTCTCGGGCCTTGCAGAGGGTGTGAGAACTTCACGCAGCCGGCGGTGTTTGCACTGTGCTTGTCTGAGGCGGGTGCCCCACGCCCATGGGGGCTGTGACTTGCCTGTGGTCTCCCAGCTGGGTGGGCGCTAAGCTCGCACCAGCTCTCAGCCTCTTGATTTCTCTTTCACACCAAGGGCTTCTAACACTTACTTATTTCTGTGCTCCCGAAGACAGGAAGGGATCCTGAGAAGTTATCTTGTCCATCTCGCTTTGAGCAGTAGCCCCATCCAAGCACCCCAGATAGTGGGGCACTCTGGGCGACTTTAAAGACTTGGGCAATTCCATAACCTGCCCCCATCCACTTCATGGGTCCACGTGGACCCTTAGAAAGTAAAGTGCTCTCCTCTTTCTGACTTATGAAGCCTGTAAACCCATTTCCTCTCGTTTTGCCTTTGATGCCAAACAGGACCATTCTTTTCTTTTTTAGTTCCCTTGTCGACTAGGAGACTGTTTTCACTGAATCACACCTCATTCCTTCTCTTCTCCAGAAATACCAATTGCTTTTTTTTTTTTTTCCTGTCACTACTCCTCTCTCTAGCCCTGGTGCCTGGGAATCCAGAGTAAGGACATGTGGACCAGCTCTAAGGCATGGAAGATCTTACCATCCTGGTTTAATTGTCATAAAGAATCCTGGGGGGGGAGTAAGATTTCTCGCCCTTCACAGATATGAGAACAGGGCCGGAGCATGCAAGTGACTGTTCAAGGGCACTGGGCCCAAGGTATTTGATAGGTTCCATTGCAGTGTTCCCCCTTTGCACTTTCCAGCTGATTCTGCATCTGCACAACATCTCTGAGATCTGGCTTTATGTTCCCGTCTAGTTCAGTAGAAGGAATCAAGGTGCCTGCCAGCCGAGCTTCTCAAGGAGTCCAGCTGTGGGTTCCACATGGCCCAGGCTCCAGCCTGGTGGCCTCCCAGAAGGCTGTGGGGCCCCACCTGGGTTTCCATTATTTCTTGGATGTTTGTGAGGATGAAAGATGATTGGGCAGGAGATGCTCGATAAACATCAATGACAAGAACAAAGAACCCCACCCATACTAAGTACTCAACCAATGGTAGCTCTTGGTTTTTATAAACATTTCTAAACTGAGGGGGTTGGTTTAGATAATGTCTAAGGCTCATTCTGACTCCAAAATGTTATGACTCCGAATGTGACTTACCTTGTTAGTGCTGTCACTCCTGCTACAAGAGTGCAAGCCCCTTAAAGGCAGGGACCGTCCTCCTCCTCCCCCTCTATCCCATTCGGTCTGTCCGGCACCTCTGCCCCATTTCAGCTCTTGTACCAAATTGTGGCAGCAACTCCCTGCCCCCCCCTCCCCCCGCACACACACACACTCCTCCTTCCAGTCCAATCTGGTGCACCCTCTCAGTCCCCCATGCTGCTGGGAAAACCTCAAGCTCTCTCCTCTCCCTGCCCCTTCCTGACTCAACTAGCTCCACCCACTTCCTCCCCAGTCTGGGCAGGAATGAATATATATATATTGATTTCAGAGAGCAGAAGGGAGAGGGAGAGAGAGAGAGAAACATCAATGATGAGAGAGAATCATCGATTGGCTGCCTCCTGCACGCCCCCTCCTGGGGATCAAGCCCAAAACCTGGGCATGTGCCCTGACTGAGAATCACACCATGACCTCCTGGTTCAGAGGTCAATGTTCAACCACTGAGCCACGCCAGCTGGGCTGGGGAGGACTTTTTAACTACTTTTTGCTTCCCCCATCCTGGTGGCATCTCCTCGAATTCCTGTTCACCCACCAGGGTTCACGTTGTTTCCATCACCCTCCAGCTAGAAACATCCCGGTAGCTCTACCAGGATGACCTCTACCAGGTCACTCATACAGCCTCTTCTTCTGGAGCTTTTTAAATGTTGAGGCTAGTCTTTGTATCAGGTAGCAAAAGAGAGGTTGAGAGAGCACCAAACAAACCAATCCCATGCCCACTCGTACCAGCTCTGTGGCCCAGGCCAGCCTGCTGTACCTGTGGGACCGCCATGGGCACCCCTGTAGAATGGGCACAGGGCTCCGCTCCTCCCCCAGGTGGCCATGAGGATTAAATGAGATGAGTAGAAAGGTGTGCTCCCCTTCACGGGCCTGGAATTACATCGTCTACCTCCCTTGTGGTGCCCACTCTCTCCCCACATATGGTGACACCCTTACCAGGCCATGGGTACCAGGCGACCAGAGACTGGGGCTGGGTACACCCACATTCCAATGCGGTGCCGAACACATAGTAGGTGAGTGGGAGCTCAGTGCACACGAGCATAAGACTGCTTTGACCTTTCATGGCCCTTGCATCTGCCAACCCAGGCCATCTTTATGAGACCGGTCGCAGTGGCCTAATGGGGTCGGTTCTGTCTCTGAGCCCTCTGTTCCCCTCCAGTTGGTTTCTTTGTCGTTGGCATAGACTTGGTGGGCCCGTGGAGTATGCCCGTCTTTGTAAATGAGGCCGCCTGCAACTTCAGGCTTCACAGGCCCTTCCTGCAGCCCCAAGACCACCGTGGCCCCTGCCTCCTCCCCCCCACCCCCACCTAAGTCCCTTGCTGGTGACACAAGAGGAATGCGACCCAGCAGGAGGCAGACATGCTGGTTGTTCTGGGAGGAGATCAAGAGGGCAAAATGGGGCGGCAGAGGCCAATGAAACAAAAGGGGAGACACCGGAGGAGGGGCCTGGACCCTCCTTTGAAACAGCTGTGCTGCTCATTTTAATCCCGCCGGCCTTAGCCAGCCTGGGAGAATGAAGGGCGGGGGTGGGAGGGAGGAGGATGCAGGGGACACACAGAGGCCCAGCTGTGGGTGGGGTGCAACTCCTAAACATTGTCTTAAACTTTTCTGTGCCATCTGTCCAGCTCACTGGCCCCAAAGTTGAAATGTGAAGGTCATGCCAGGCCTCTAAGTGGTTGCATCTCAGAACTATGCTAACAGCTACTGAGGAAACTTAAGATACCTTAGGACCCTGACATTGTATGCCCCTGGTGCTAGCTTGGACAGGGGACAGGGAGGGGGAAGACACCCCGTCTCCACTCACTTACTCCCCTCTTCTATTCCATAGTCTCCCCTCTAAGACCAGAGTCCTGTTCCCTCCCATATGTGAGTGTGTACGTAGAACTTGCTAGAATCCCCTGGCTGCCTCTGGGGTCCTCCGTCCCCTGGCAGACCTTCCTTTGGGGGCAGAGGAACCCAGCCTGCTTTCTCACCAGGGCCAATCAGTGTCTTATAAGCCCCTGCATTCTGCCCAGAGAGCACCTGGTCCTGGGCAGCAGGCTGCCATTGAATGGGTCGTGGGATTGTGCACTCGTCCTGGGGCCACCTGGCTACCTGGGTTCATGCTGAGCATCCGTGACGCCCCGCTGTGGTACTTTCCCTGCAGGTCCTTCAAGAGGAGCGATCCCGTTAACCCGTACCACGTAGGTGCCGGCTACGTCTTTGCACCAGCTACCAGTGCCAACGACAGTGAGATATCCAGCGACGCACTGACGGACGACTCCATGTCCATGACGGACAGTAGCGTGTAAGTATTCTGGCGTCCCCATCACGTGCCTGTCATGTGATTCACAGGATCGGCTGGCCAGAGTCCTCAGCCATCCTCACCTGGCTTTGCAGATCCCATCTGTGGACATGCGTTTGGTGGTTGAGGAGGGTGGCATGGTAGATGGGGTGGTGGTAAGCGTAGAGCCTTAAAGGGAAGGTTGGGTGGTACCTTAACAGAAGAAAACTAAGGTAACGTATGGAAGGTTAAGATCTATACATTTGAGTGTAACCACACATCTTTTGGTTGTCATTTTGCCTGCCTTCCCTGTGGGCACAAGTGCTGGGTTGGCCTTGGAAGCCGGTTGTCTACCTAAGTTTGGGTTCCCTCCAAAGTCGAGCCGATCTTGGCTCTTTTGCAGATGGATGGCTTTGATTTCTGAAAGCCATCCAGGTCATCAGGGTGGTCTGCTGAGGTCGCCAGGGCAGCGGGCGGGGTCATGCTTTGAGCTTTAGGTCATTTGTGGTCATGCAATGGAGGCGAACAGCATACATTCTATGTGAATTCCAGTGTGTGTGTGTGTGCACGCGTGTGCGTGCGTGTGTGTGTGGGTGGGTGCGGTGGGCTGGGTATCCCCATCTCCTGCCATCCCTTGGGATTCTGAGCCGGAGGCTGGAGGGAGAGCCTGGCCTTGGGCAGAACTTCCTCAAGAGCTTTCACCCAACACCAGTTGAGAACCACCATTCTGGAAATGCTCTTTGAAGGCTTTCCCACAAATGTTTTGAGTAGGACCTTCTCCCGCTCAGGGAGCAGTTTTAAAAGGCAAACCCATTGAGCTGTGTGAGTTCTGGCATACTTAGAGTGTGTTCCTTTTACCTTCCTAAAAACCGGACTGCCTGTCCTTCCAGTTTGTTTGAGATTATATGGTTTTTATTGGCCAGTGTCCTGTTGCTTGGTCTCTGGCATGGAACTAGTTAGAAGGAAAGTTGATGAGGCTGGTTTGGGACTCTGCTATTGATTAAAATCCTGGTGGCTTTTATTGTGTCACCTCAGATTCCCTGTGGTAAAGGGAGAAATCCTTAAGATGAAGCATCCTACTTTAATAAAAGAATAGCAGTTTTGCCTTGAGAAGCAGTAAGTAAGGGTACACATCTTTCCTCCAACGTGGAGGAGTTCCACAGAAATAAGTCGGACTGAACTCCTTAAATATCCATGTTGAGAAAAATGATCCTTTGATGGACATAGTTCTTAATACATTTTTACTGTCTTTATGGAATAGTATTAGGTAGGCATAATTTACTTCTTGATCCAAATAATTAATATCAAGATCTGTTTTTGTACTACGTTGTATTATCTCATAGATTATAAGGTTATATCAGGCTATCTGCCCCTTACACGTGGTATTGTGCCCCCCCCCCCCCCATTTACTTTTTTGTTATGTACATCTTATTGACTTCACAGAGGAAGGGAGAGGAAGAGATCGAAACATCAGTGAGAATCATTGATTGGCTGCCTCTTGCATGCCCCCAACTGAGGATCGAACCTGCAACCCAGGCATGTGCCCTGTAATCAGGATTTTAAAAAGATTCCCAGGTGATTCTAATGTGCAGCCAAGGTTGAGAACCACTGTCCTAGACCAGTGGTTGGCAAACTCATTAGTCAACAGAGCCAAATATCAACAGTACAACGATTGAAATTTCTTTTGAGAACCAAATTTTTTAAACTTAAACTATATAGGTGGGTACATTGTTATTAACTTAATTAGGGCACTCCTAAGGCTTAGGAAGAGCCACACTCAAAGGGCCAAAGAGCTGCATGTGGCTTGAGAGCCGCAGTTTGCCCACCACGGTGACCATAGGTCGATGCTCAACCACTGAGCAACACTGGTCAAGACCCCCTCCCATTTTCAAAATGAGTTTTTCTTTTTCTGGTCACCCTGCCTGCTGTATGTTTGTTTGTTTGCTGCCGTTGTGTGCTTGCTACTGGTAGCATTACTCCTTCAGCTTTTTGTTGTTTTGTGGGTTGCGCGGGAGTGGTAGCATTATGCGAAATGGGTTAAATCAGATTTGAATGAGGGCATTGAGTGACTGCAAAGTCAAAGGTAGTTTGCGGAAGGCTTCTGTTTAGTTTCCTTAGAGACTGTTTTGGCCGGCTTGCTGGTCCTTGCCTGCATTTATTTCATGTCCACCCCCATCGCTGTGTTCTTCTGGCTTCATGATGAGATAACTGGGGGCGTGGTCCCCATACGTGGTTGAGCCTCACAAGACCCAATCGGGAAGGTAGGCCGTCCTGTGACTGACAGGTGGAAGTCAGGCCCGTGCTGCCGTGGCTTCTCGTGGCAGAACCAGACTCCGCTCCAGGCCAGACACCCGCCCCTGCCCTTCGCCTCTCCCCTTTCCCCACGCACCCACATTTCCCACGTGAGATGTGTAACTAGGACCGGTGGGTCATGAGACCTTTGAGCCACTTTGAGTTTCTTTTTATTTATTAGCGATCACCCACACTGCTGCTTTTTTAATGGGTTGGGGGGAGGGGGAGGGGGAGCAAGTTCTAACTTCTCCCCCGAACCCTCCCCCATTACATTACCCCTCTTCTTTCATCCCCTTCCCAAAAGAAAACCTTCCTCGCTTTACAGAGGTGACTTTAAAGCCCACCCCCCTCCCTCCCCCTTTAGCTAAAGGACTTGCGGGCCTGGAGCCAGGAGAGCCTCTCCTCTCGTAGGGATCAGACAGGTGGCCTTTGTGAGCGAGCTGTTCTGGGCAGAAGGTTGAGTGTGGCCAGTAAGGTCCACTTCATACGGAGGCAGAGCCCTCACGTAGTGGCTTTCTCTCTGGGGCACAGGACATTCCCTTGGGCCCCCACTGGCAGAACCTTGGGGATCCCGCGTAGGGTGAAGCTGTGTGGGCTTGGGGGTGAGGAAACCAGGATGCCAGCCTCAAGAGCAGGTGCCTGGGAGGGCCGGAGACCTGGGGGCCCAGCCCTGGGTGCGTGCCTCCTCCCAGCCAAGTGGGCGGGTATCAGATGGGGCCGCGACAGCTGGACCCACTGGGCCTTCTTGTGCCAGCCGGGAGCGGGACATCCTCTCTCAGGAGTGGTTTGTCCAGGGGTTCGCCTGGTGCTGCCCAGAGTGGGGGACAGAGGGTCTCCAGAGCCCATCAGATGGGCTGAGTGTTTGGGCTTAGACACTTATGTGGGTATCAAGCTGCGAGGCACCGGGAGTCCCCGGGGCCCTCCCCACGCTCCTGCCCAGCGGACCTGGCGTACCCTGAGTGCATGTGACTGCCCAGTGTCGGGCGGGTCACCCAGGATTCCCAGGGCTGGGATCAGACCCCTCCTCAGAGCTCTGCCAATTGTGGGCCTGGCGCACATGAGAGTGGCGAGCGAGGAATAAAGTGTGCGGGGGATGAAAAGCCGAACTGAATCGCTTTCAGCCCATTGTTCATCCGGGGAAGCTTAGAGGGGATAAGAGGGTAGCAGGCCCTTTGAAATTTCCTTGAACAAGTGAATAGGAGCGCCCCATAAAGCATGAAAAGGCCCTGGCTGTTTCTCCTGGCCACAATGGCCGGCTCGGGTGGGGAGGGGGCTGGCTGCCCTGCTGGGAGCTGAGGAGGGGAGGTGACTGAGGAGGGGTCAAGGGGGTCACGGGCGGCCTTCAATAGACTCCAGAAGGTTGGAGTTCATTAGACACAAGCCCGGGGAGGCCATCGTCTCATTGGCGATAGAACCAATGAAGTCCCGGGGCCTTTGCAGGGCCTGGGTAGAAGCTGGGCAGGGCCGGCCTGCACTTGCTTGTTTCAGGGGCAGCGGGGCCTGGAGGTCCGGTGCGGGCGGGGATTTAAAGAAACCATGGCTGGCTTCTGTTTTCCCGCCAAGTAAAACGCCCTGTTAAGGATGGCTGGGACGGGGGTCCCGAGAGGCCTCTGAGAAGGCCCTTTTATGAGCCTATTACTCAGAAACCCACATTCTCGGAAGAAATGGCTTTAAAATTTTTTTCTTTTTCTTTTTTTGAAAGTTAGCTGCCAGATTCCCAGCCAAGTCCCAAGCCCCGTCTTTGGAAGGTGGGGGGTGGGGGGGGGGCCGCTGGGCATTCCCGGGCCTCAGGCCTAGGAGGAGGAAGCCAGAGGCTGGAGACCTCAGCAGCAGCAGGTCCCTGCCCCCAGGTGTGCCCTGTGTTAGGTGGCAGGCATCGTGTGTGCCATGTGCAGCAGCTGGACTTGAAGGCCGCGTCCACCCGGGGTGTCCTCAAATCAGTGCAGGACGCTTCCCTCGCGTCCCACACAGAGGGCTGCGCGGGTCGTTTTATTTATTTATTTTTATTTCCCTATATCTTATTTATGGGTTTACTTTGGACACCAGTGAAAGCCTCCGTGTGAACTTCAAATATTACCTTATCTTACAAACCGGGCTTTTGATGTTGGCTGTGATCAGAGGCCCTCTGAGAGGCTGCCAAATGGAACTGAGCGTGGACGCCTGAGCGCGGGAGCCCGCTTTCAAAGTCCCCGGAAAACGACATTCAGGTTAGGCCGGGCACCACCGCGGAGTCAAAAGGCTAAGCTAATTGGCTTGGCTTAAATGGCAGCTAAATGGAGTCCACACTTCAAACCCGGTGCTCCCAGAAACAGCTGGGCCCTTCTGGGCCCGGCAGCGGCTCGTTAGCTCACATGTCCGTAATGAAAGGAGGCCGTGTGGGGACCGGCGCGGGCTTCAGCTCGCAGTTCTGAGCAGCCAGGAAGCTGATCATAGACTTTAGAGCCCGAATAAAAAGGAGAGAGGCCCCCTTCTGGAATGAGGGGCTGTTTTGGAAGAAGATGCTTGGCGAGGGGAGAATTAGAGCCATATTTCCTTGCAGGCCTCTGTCAGGCCTCTTGGAGCCTCAGAGTTGAAATCTCCCTTTTCCTGCACTTGGCTCCATCAGCTGCCCTGGGGGATGGGGGTGCTGGTGGTGGAGTCGTGGTGGTGGTGGTGGTGGTGGTGGTGGTGGCGGTGGTGGGATGGGGGTGCTGATGGTGTTTGTGTGTTGGGGGGGTGGGGGTTGGTTGAGGCAGTGCTTAAAAACCATCATTTGTTCCTTTGGCCTTCAAATGGGCCAGTGAACTGCTTCCTCTCACCCCCATACTTATGTTCCCCAATTCTCTTTTCTTTCTACCTCATATGGGAAAAGACAAAGGTCAAAAAGCCTGACCACTGGTTTCCGCCTGGGAGGAAAGGAGAAAAGACTACTAGAGGCCAGAGTCTTGGGGGTGATGGGTGGGTCACAGTGGGGTCATGGGGTGCTTGACTCCTGGCCCCCAAGATTGTCAGGAAGAAGCCTAAAGCAGAGACATCCACCCCCTTAAGTCCCGGAAAAGGGTTGCTGGCCAAGAGAAAGGCAAGGACTGGCCTTGCAGCCCTGAGGCAGCAGGAGATGGTTAGACCAGCATGAACCCCAAGTTGTGGGCCCTCCACTACCCACCGCCCCCCTTACCCCACCGGGGTTTAGGTTAGAGACCAGGAGATTCACCTGGCATGCCCTCCAGCCAGTGAGTATCAAGTGGTGGGAGAGGACTTTCCAGAATGTTCACCAGGTCTCCCATGGGTCCCTTCAGCATGTTGGGTGACTCCATGGGGCTTAGGAAATGTACCCCATGTTCAGTCAGGAGCTTTGCCTCCCTAGTCGAGGAAGGTGTAGGTGGTTGAGACACCTGCTCTGGAGCCCGCAGCGGCTTGGGTTCCGATCCCTGGACTGCCCGCTGCAGACTGTGACGCTGATCATCTAGATGTGGTGGAGTTGGGGTTTTGTGGGAACGGAATTGGGCTCTATGTTAGGAACGTCTGACCCCCAGTAGGAACTCAGTGTGGGGGGCCAGCAGCCTTGGTTGGAACCCATCACCTGGTTTCCTGCTCACTCGGTATGCCCTGGAGGGCCCGGGGTTCTCTCCCTTCCCACAGTGAGAGCATTGAGTATCGGTACAGAAGCTCCAGGTGGGCACTGAGCTTCTGCACTTGGACCCTTTATCCTCCCTGGCCTCCAGGGCCCCGTCCAGTCCCCGGCCTCATGAGCAAGAGACCGTCTGGGCGACCTGACCTGTGCTGGCAACTGGCTGCCGCTTCCCCCCGCTCGCTGCCTCTGCCCGGGCCTTGCCCTTGCCCTTGCCCTGGGACAGGACTCAGTGTGTCTAAGGCCTTACTTTAAATCCTGCTCTCCTTCTGCCCTGCACCTCGATACGATGATCCTTCAGGTGCTTCTCAGCCAGGTTTGGCTAACAGATCACTGATCTGTGACCCGTATCATCCCCACCGGGGCCCGGTCCAGCCTCGGTCAGCAGACTTCCGGAAAGCTCTGCCACTGGAATCCTAGGGCCTCGCAGATCAGGGGCCAGAGGTCAGCCGCTGGCTCCCTCCTGCGTCCTTTTAGGCGCTGCTGGTTCCACCCACTGCTCCCTCCCATGAACAAAACACCAGGGAAAGGGAACAGCCAGACCCCTCATTGCAATGCTGACAGCCTCCAAGGGTGAGGCAGGAGGGAGCTGTGTGACCATGAGGCTTTCACCTCCGGAAGGGACAGTGAGGGGAAAGTTGTACCCCCTGACCATTCGGCTGCTCTCAAGAATCAAGTTCTCTTCTAAAAAGCCACAGCCACGTCAGGTTGTGTTTCTGGTGGAGACGAGCCGGAGTCCCGAGGGCAGGCGTTTCTTACCTCTTCCACCCGCGTTTTTCAAATGCCACGAGGAAGGACGTAGGGGCCCGTGCTGCCTTCATTCGGGCCTCTGCCAGGACATCGTTGACAATCCACTTCCCTGTGAACCACCTGGCATGCCCCACAGCCAGTGAGCACTAAGTGGTGGGGGGCCAGGCTGAAATTGCAACCCCCTGCCCCCCCCCCCCCAGTGGTCCTCTCTCCCCATTTCCTGCTGTGTGTTTCATCATGGTAATTACCACCTCTGACATACTACAGGTTTTGCGTTTTTATTTTTGTTTATTGCCTGGGCACCCATTAGGATAAAGCTTCATAGGCCATCCTCTGCATTTTTCCCTGCTCGTTTGCCCAGTCCCTAGAACGAGGTTTGGCACATGGTAGGTACTCAGATACTGGAATGAACTGCACAGAATGCCACAGAGTAGGGGCTTTGTCTCTATGCCCACCTTGGTCATGTCTCTGAGACTTGGTTGGTTGGGATTGGAGCTGAGGGAAGGGAAAAGCCTGAGGTTACCCTGCTGACGATTTGTATGGGGAAGACATTTGGAAACACCTGAGGTCGGAGAGTTGCACACAGCTTCACTAACGCCTGGCCTGGCCCTGTACGCGCCATAAGGCACACCTGGCTTCCGATTCGGGGTAGTGTGTTGTGGTGGCAACAGATTGTTGGGAGGACCAAAAGGGTCTTAGGATCTCCTGCTTCGGGCACCTGTAAAGTGGGGCGTCTTCACTCTGGCTGGGCTGGCTGGAGTGGAACCCAGTTGTGCGAGAACAGCCTGAGAGAAGAGCTTACCACCCTCTTTCCAAGTCGGGGATCCTGAATCCAAGAGGGAGCCATTTCCAGAGATGGTTGACGGGCAGGGGTGTGGCAGTGTGATGGTGGATGCCTTTCCCGCAGGGACAGCCCTGGCCCTGGGACAGGGTGCACTCTCGGGGAGGTGTGCGGCCCCGTCCTCGGTGGGATCTGAGCTTCCTGGTGCTGACAGCATCTCGTGAGCCTGCGGGTTCTGTCTTTTCCCTTCCCTTAGAGATGGAATCCCTCCTTACCGCGTGGGGAGTAAGAAACAGCTCCAGAGAGAAATGCATCGCAGCGTGAAGGCCAATGGCCAAGTGTCTCTACCTCATTTCCCGGTGAGTATAGCCTAGAGGGGGAGGTAACTGTTTTCAGCCACGAAGAAAAGGGGTGGGAGGAGGAGGGGCATAGAGACAGTAGGAGGGGCAGTGCTGGGCCTGCTGGGAACAGGGTGGGGAGGCAAGACCAGCAAGGAGTGCTTATGGTTCGTTGGGTTGTGATGCTGAGCAGAGGGGAGCTTGACATGACCCTTCTGAACCCTCCCATCTTCTCGTTCATCAAAGAAAATTCTCTACGAGAAAGAAACCAAAGCAGTTCCTCTGGGAAACCAGGACTTGATAGCAGATCATCCACGCGTCTCCTTGGTCCCACCGCAGTGGGAGCATCCTGAGGGCAGGGAGTTTTGTCTCTTCTTAGCCTCCCTGTTCCCAGAAACGAACAGTGCCTGGCACATGATAGGTGCTTGTTGATTGATCGATTGAATGAATGAATGAATGAATGAGGAAAAGGAAGCTCGAGGAATCTGCTTCCTGTGGGAGGAAAATTTCATCCCTAGGACATTCTCGTGTTGACAGCATGGCTCAGTCGTTTCCATCATCCATGTATCTATTGCCTTGGCCATTTCTCCTGCTGACCTGAGGCCCTGGAGGGCAGCGATAGCACCTTGTCTGTTTCCAACCCCAGCACGTGGCTTCAGTTCCTGCCGTAGGCTCTGCACCTAATGCTGCTGAATGAGTGACGTGTTGGCAGCAAGGGTGGCAAACAGCTTCTTCCTGCTGTTGCGATGAGAGGCCAGCATGGCATGAAGGGCCCCTCCGCGCCCTCCCTTCTCTTTCCGTGTCCTGGAGGGCAGCCAGCACGTGCCCCTGTGCATTTCAGGAGCTGTGCTTCTGGCAGTGCTCTGAGGTGCAGGTGGCAAGGGTGCTACCCCTGGGGTTGGGGGCGGGGAGAAGGGGGAGTGCCCAGTTTAGAGCAGCATCTGTGTTCACGAATCCTTCCCGAGAACCCAATTGGCCCATGGGCTATGTTGCATTTGGAAAATTAACACTTGGAATTGCTACTCCTGTGTTGCATCAGTGCCCAGATTGTAGCCAGAGCCGCTCGCTCCGAAACCTTGCACAGTGCGGGGCAGACTGAGCTTGTCTTAAAATTAGCACATGAAGATTGCTTTTCTGGGGACCGCCAGCATCTCCCTCCTCAGTAGCTCTACCCCCCAAATACAACAGTATTGATGATATAAACATTTTTTGACAGGGCAGGGGTCTATGTGTATTAATAAAGGAAACTTCTAACACCCAGGCTTGTAAGTTAGATGCTTCTGTCCTGGGGTGCAGACCAAGTTCTCCAGGAGGCAGCCCCGTGGTGGGGGAGAGGGGAGAAGAGCCATCTCCTACCGAGGGGGGCCGGCTTTCTGTCCCCTCAGCAGGGTCTGCAGCTAAACGGTCACCAGGCGAGGCCCACCCATCTGCCGGGGAAAGGCTGGCCTGCCCACGTTGGCCTTCTGCTGCCCCCACCGCGCCCCAAAGAAAAGGGCGAAGCAAGAGGGAAATGAGGGAGGAGGCAGGACTCCGGGGAGGAGGTGGGCGGGAGGAGGGTGGGCGAGATGACAGGAGGAGAGAGAGCCGGGCGGCTGTGGGGGTTCTCTCTGTTTGCTGCTTTTGGCAGGCGAGCCTGGTGCCTTTTTATATTCCGCACTTGATTTGGAGATGTTCCCTTTCCCTTGATAGAGCAGCTTCAGGCGGCCAAACTCAGCAGTGTTCTGCTACTAGCCCGCAGCAGCTTTCTTCATTTTCTGTACAAAGAGCTGGGGAGGGGGCGGGGGAGGCAGGCAGATCTAGGACAGTGTTGAGACAACACCGCCTCAAAGGTGCGCAGTGTGCGGCCAGGAAATAAATTACTGCTCCTTCTGATCCGGCCGCGTGACTCCCTTTCTTCCCTCCCTTTGCCTCCCCCCCACCTCCCTTCCAATCTTATTTTTTTTAATTTCCAACTCCCTTTCTGTTTAGACTCTACTTTTTATTCCTTGAGTTGGGCTCTCTCCCCTCCCCACCTCAGAGGCTGCCTCTTTTTTTTTGATGTTTGACAACAGTCTTTGAAGATTTTCGACTTCAGAGTAGCTACTGATGGGCTGGTTGTACTACAGAGAGAACAAGCGGGGCCTCTCGGAGTGCGACCAACTGCTCCTGCCCAAGGCAAACGCTGGTGGGGACCATGGCGCTCCATGAGGCCGCGGCGCCAGCACATAAAGCTCCCCGGCAGCCTGGCCGCTCTGCCCGGACTTGGAGCCGCCGAGCACATCGCCAGCCCGGGCAGCTCCGCGCCCCGCCCCCCCCCCATGCGTGCCTGGGTCCCCCCTGCTCACGGCCCCCCTCTGCTGCCTTCCCTTCCAGGATGAAGAGAAGGAGGGGTCCGAGCTTGCTCTGGGCTTGCGGGAGGGGGCGCCCCCCCAGCACCCCCTCTCCCTCCTGCCCTCTGGCAGCTACGAAGAGGACCCGCAGACAATTCTGGACGACCACCTGTCCAGGGTCC